ATAGGGTATTGTTTAGTTCGTTTATGTTCACCAACATTATCATCAAAAGCTCGTGAATATGCTCGATCGAAAGCTCAAATAAATGCTTTTGAAGATGTTCGACAAGGATAATTTGGTTATATACCAAATAGTTTGATTAAGAAGCTTGTGAATATTATCATGTAAAAGTTTGTGAACTTGTTCAATTAAAAGTTGATTAAGGCTCAAAACTTATTTGTCGTGTTAAATGAATGGATTCTTTGTAAGCTTGTTGAACACTAAAACAATTGAGCATGAGCTCAAACACTGTTCTAACTACTCTATTTGAGCTTGAACAAGCTTTAGACAAATAAGCTTGAGCTCGAGCAAGCTTGAACTCGGCTCAGCTCTATTCGTTGGTAGTCCTAAGAATAGTAAGTAGATCAGTTAGTTCTCTTAAAAAATATGAAATACAAAAAAAACTTTCATAGAAAATTCCAAATTTGAACTATCAAAAACTGTAATAAATAAATAAAATGAAAGGTTTCTATTCTCTAAAAGAGAGGACGCTGAAAGCAAAATAATCCCTAATAAAATAGAAGAAGAACCCACGGTTGTTTTGGTAGTCATATGGAAGTGATATGTGGAGAAGACAATAAAACCTCTCATCATCGTCCAAATGAATGAAATAGGGAGCGAAAACAATAAAAAGTCCCCTGTAACTAAACTGCAAAGTTGTTGTACTGATGATAAATATCCAGAAAATCATTAGAATAAGTCACTAGAGCTCCAAACAGTAATATAATGAGAGAAAACACTGCAAAAAATCATCATCAAGTTTGCATGTTACTCCATGATTGATAGTAGAGATGATGATTTAATTGATAGTAGAGATGATGGTTGTAAAACCAGAGATTCTCCTGTCGAATCCTCTAACATTCTTTTCTTTCTAGATAAAATAGACCAAGCCCATAAATAGTGAGAAGAGAATAACATTTGCATTTTTTAACAACCATAATAAATACTATATGATATGTAGTACTTGATAAGATGGTCAAGTTTGCATAAACATTACCAAAAATCAAAGCCTCTTGTTGGATAAGGTTGCCATAAGAAGTAATATTTCCTTTCCCACCAAATTGCTAATAAATTAGAAGAATTGAGATTTCTCTTGTTAAGAGACCATCTGGAAGCATAAGAGAGGTCGTGGAGTGCAAACTCAAACCCCATAGGCTTTAAGTTCACAAGATCTATCCCAAGCTAAAAGATGCAACTTCTTAGCTTCAATATCTCTATAAAAATGAATTTTTAGTAGCACATCTTAATAAACTTTAGGCAAATTTTAGACATGTTTAAAGGTCTGATCCAATTAAAAACAATGTTCCATATAAAAACTTAAGGAGTTGAAGACCGACAAATTGCAGATTTTGCTTTCCAGCCATGATCCATATAGATAACTTAGTGTTTTTCTTAGGCAATTGTAGTCGTTTGAAGAAGTAGTTCTAGAAAAAAAAAAAATTTCAAAAAGCTGCGATGACTATTACAAATTTATTTTATTTCAAAAAATTCAGACTACATTTTTCTAGCAGTCACCACACTCTAACAACTTATGTTAAAAAATAGCAACAAAGCAGTTCCGAATATTTTGCTCTATCTTCTTCGTTATTGGTGATCAATTTGCCTTTAGCCTCATCAAAGTAAGAGTACTATAGCCCTTGGTCTAGTGAAAAGGCAAGATCGATAGTTTGACTTGGTGTATGACATGCAATTGTGGAGGAGCTCTGGATCTTTCGATCTATGGCAGATATCCAGTAATTTTAAAGGATTGGGGATGATGACTCTTGATTGTTAAATCTAAGGCAATCATATCTGATTGAGTAACATAATTTAGCTTATACAATTATTTATTATCTAATTGAACTTAAGCTAAGCATAACCCCGAGCATCTATTTTTAATCAACGGGCTTTAGCCTTCCCCTCATTTTGACACCAATAAATGTTAATAATTGGCAATAATGCCAAACATTAACTATGCCTGGGATTATGTGATGAAGATCAAGTAGAACAAACGTATTTGCAATCATTAAGGTGTTAGTAGTATATTATGCTTTAGGATTTTATCTACTTAAATTTATTTAATTCATTGTTCTATTAAAAATCTCAAAAGCCATTTTAAAACAATTTTAAATCCAAAAAAATTATGAAATAATTTAAAAAAATTATAAAATTGTAAATTTAATTTTTCAGAAATAAATTTTTTTTAATTTTGTAATTTATTTATTGTAATTCACTTACTTTATAATTTTATAAAATTTATTTTTTGAATTTAATAAAATGTGAAATTTATTTAAAATTGCGAATTTGTATTTAAATGTTTTTTTTATAATAAAAAAGTAATTTAAGTAATTTCTTTATTTATGCAAATTAAAACTCATTAAATGATATCTTTAGAATTTAGTAATTATTTTATTACTATATACATCATAAAAATGTTAATTTCATTAATTACATATTTTGTACTTGTTTAAAATTTTTAAATAAAATTCAATTAATATTTTGGACATATGTGTATTTAATTATTTAACCGATATTTTTTTCACTAATATCGACTTGATTGATAAATAATTGTTTTATTATGACAAAATTAGAATAAATATTGAGTAATTTTTTTCTGCTTTATAAATATAATTAATTTGAGTTGGATGCAGAAAATTATCGGAATAATCTATATATTTAATTATCTTGATTGATTAGCTAATTCAAAAAATTAGTGAAATCAATAGAAAATTAAAGAAATTTTGGAAATTGATTATTCTTCACTAGTTTATTATGTGGAAATTGATATTTTTCCATTATTTAACAAAATTTCTTGTTGTGAATTTCAAGTTATTTTTTAAAAAATTTAAGAAATTTAAATAGATTATTTTTCACGTTGTAATGATAGAATATGTCATAGGATACTTCTATCTGATATACAAAAAGTAGTATTATGGTTTATTTAGAGCAGCAACAGCTGTTTGAAGAAGCAGTTATGAAGATGCTATAAAAAAAAAATAATTATTCAACTGGCGGCGCTGAATATTACAAATTTATTTTATTTTAAAAAGTCATATCGTAGTTTCTAGCAGCCACTGCACTAGTCCAAGTTTAGTTTTAAAACACAGTTTCCTACCGCAGTTTCTTTAAAATGCCGACAAAACATAGTTTTATGTGTTTTGCTAAATGCCTGAAAATGTGGTGCGTCATGGCAGTGCTACCCCAAAGGAAGCCTTACTGCAGGGCTTGCACCTAGAACTTGTGCTAATAACCTAGTCCATCGATGAATAGTATACAATCACAACACATGTCAAGCACGTATACTTTGATATTGCAATAAAAAAACGTATAGATGTAGAACATGTCTGATAAATGTAATGGTTTCTTTTAAATAACACTTGATTTTATATTCATCTCTGTGTTTTTTGTTTTTGGATTGTGCAAACATACTTGTAAATCCATGAGATTGACTTGCTTTACATGGCGACACATAATCATTAACATAATGCTTCATGTTGTCCTACTACATATGTGATATAGTGCGGCATGACAGCTCCCACATACATATCCTTAAATTTCAGGAAGATTTACATACATACCGTTAAATTCCTATGTATTTACATACCTAACACCTAAACTTCAATATTTACATACATGTCACCTTAACTATGCATGTGAAGGTGTATTTCACCCTTTTTAAATTAAATGATAGTATTTTTTATGTGACATGAAAGATTTGAGTTGTATGAACTATAAGGTAAAGTTTGTGTTAGATATGTAAATATAACAAAATTGGATTGTATGAATGTGATTGCCCCAAATAGTAGTATAAAGAAGGGAAATTTACATACATATCACACAATTCTTATGTATTTGCATATCTAACTCCTAAAGTTCAATATTTACATTTATAACGTGTCGTTATCATAAACCTATGCATGAAAAGTTGTATTTCACATTTGGAAAAGATAATAAGAGGTATGTTTTACGTGATGTTAAAGATTTTAAGTGGCATGCATGTAAATATGAATGTTTATGTGTCAGATATTATAATACATAATAATTGTGTGCATGCACATACAATCATCCAAAACTGAACTGAAACTGCAGGAGGAGGAAGACGCAGCCCATTAGCGAGCGAAGTGCCGGCTCTGTATTTCGAAATCCAGTGGGGTGTGGAGTAACGGCAGGAGAGCTCATCGACATAGCCGGTCTCAAAGGAATCGAGATTGGAGGAGCGAAGATCTCTGAACTGCATGCAAACTTCATCATCAACAATGGTGGAGCAACAGCCAAAGATGTTCTGGCTCTCATCGCCTTGGTTAAGGACAAAGTAGATCAAATGTTTGGTATTGAGCTTAAAGAAGAGATAAGGTATGTGCCTTATAGTTCTGCTTAGAGACAATTAATTAGCAGAGCTATATAAATTTTGCTTAAAAAAAAAAATGGGGCAAAATAGACTTTATTCTACTATGATATGATTGGATAAATTATTCAATGTTGAAATAAGATGTTAAATCATTCAGCCATAGAGAGCATTTGAGGCACTGAAAGAATCATATAAAGTTTGACCTGATTTATTCATTTTTTGAAGTATTTGTATGTATTTCTTTCAGATTGGTTATGGTAAAGGCTATTTACACTTGCATTTTCACAACATTTTGGCTGTTTTCTAAGAAGCATTAGTGGTTAGGAAGATTTACATGCATTCCTCTGAATTATTATGCATTGTCTAAAACTTAAAACTTTAATTTTATATTTGTCATATTATTTAAGCATGAAAATATGTATTTCACATTTAAAAAGGTCAAAGTTTTGTTGTGTAAATACCCAAATTATTTATTATTGGATGAATAAATGTTAACATATTCTAATGTCATGGCAGCAAAAAAGTAAGAATATATCCCATATTTAAAATCAAAATGCCCCCAAATTCTCATCACTAAACTTCAAATAAAAAAAAATAAAAAAAATTTGAAAATTTACATATAACCAAGCAAAATAAATGAACCTAACAAAAATTAACATCCAAAGAAATAGAAAATTTCAAATAACTTACAAAAAAGGAAACTTTACATCATTGTTAAAATCTTTTGGTCCATCTTTGTCATGATTTTTTTGATAAATAATTTACGTTGTTTGTCGACTACCTAACACAACCTTTCACTGTTCGTATTTGGGGCTTGGGACCCGATAACGGCAGAACAGTGATCATGAAGCCAAGAAATAATGTCATCGAGAACACGGAAAATCATCTCGTCAGATTCTCCTTCAAGAAGGGAATGGAAAGCTCCTTCATATAGGTAGAGCTTCTTGTCTGAGCTTTTTGCCTTCTCATACAGAGCCTTACTCACTGAGGGATCAGTCACCTTATCAACCTCTCCATGTAGAATTAATAGAGGCAGAGAAACCTGAAACAAATAAAAAAATTTAAAAAATTGAACTTTCCATTTTAGTAAATGAAGAAAAACCCCACTTTGACATTCATATTTTCCTTCTCCAAACAAATCATATTGAGCAATTTTGTAATTAGGTGAATATAAGGGACTTTTTTAAGAAATGTAAACAAAATACTCTTGTTAAATTAATGGAATACTTAATTCTTTTCCTATTAAAATAAACTTAGCTGTGTGCTTGGCTGGGAAGAGTTAATAGAATGGAATGACCCACTTGCAATATTTTAGAACAAGATAATATGCTAGTATATTTGAGGTCACTTACTGTATTCATAAATAACAGAACTCTAAAGCACACGAACAAAATTAACATAATAAAAATAGGCAAATGTATTTGATAGAGTCCCTAGACTGAGTTTGTATTGAAAATAAAGTACGGGCATGGGTTTCTAAAGCTTAGTCCCATCTAAACACCCGTTTAGGTTTGAAGAATCAACAAGAACACATCTGGGGGAACAGCACCCTGACTTCTAAAGCTTGGACGTCAGGTTTGAGATGACATAAAAAGTTAATGAATTCATTTTATTTAATATACATATGTTTTAAAATCAAAATTACATCGAAAGATCATGAGCGGAATAGAATGGCGAGCTCGGGGGGAGCATTTCATATTGACTTTAGCTCATTTGAAACAAATAAAAGCAGGACTTAAACCATTGCTAATGATTCACGAAATGCTAAACACGAACAAACACTGAGCTTGCTTAAGCTCAGCTTGTTTACACCCCTAGTATTCATCCCTTCTGTTCCACAACACGAATAAGCTCAAGAACCAATAGATTTGGCCTAATCAACTATGAAAATTTGGAAGTAAACTATCCACATGAATTTAAATCAATTCCTCTCCATTCTAGAATTCATTTCGACAAAAAATTCTTTAATGAAAAACAGAACTTTAATGGAAAGTAAATCACGTACTTCTTCAAGCCGACGTTCTATTTCCTCTGTCGTCTGGAGCATCTCGACAGCCGTCCTCAAGCGAGGTTTGCCTTTGTAAGCAATGACATTATAGGAAGTCTGCATAACAAGTAGCAATGTTTTAATAAGCATGATGGAACTTTCAATGTCAGGCACAGCAACATCACAAAAAAAGGGAAGTTTACATGCATACCACTCGATTCTTATACATTTACAGATCTAACACATACACTTCAATTTTTACATACATGCCACGTTACCTATGAATGACAGACGGCTGTATTTCACTTTTCAAAAGTTAAAATTGTGTTTCTTTTTATGTTACATGAAAGATTTGGATGGTATAAATGTAAGAAGCAAAATTTAGGTGACGTGTAAAAAACATAAGAACTAGGTATCACTCAATTCTTATGTATTTACATATCTACTATCTAAACTTCAATTTTTATATACATGTCATCTTAACTATGCATGGAAAGACGTATTTCACTTTTTAAAAGTTAAAAATAGTGTTATTTTTTACGTGATATGATAGATTTGGGTGGTATAAATGTAAAAAATAACATTTAGATGCTATAAATCTAAAAAAATAAGAATTGGGTGGTAGTATTGTAAAAAAAGAAGATTTACATGCATACCACCAATTCTCATATATTTAGTCATCTAACACCCAACCATCAATTTTTACATACATGCCACCTTACCCATGCATGAAAAGGTCCCAAAAAAAGGAAGAATTGCATACATAACACGCAATTCATATGTATTTCCATATAGCACCTAATTTCAATTCATGCATGCCACCTTTCTTATGCATGAAAAAGGTGTATTTCGCTTTCTAAAAGTTAAAATAGTGATATTTATTATGTGGTATGAAAGATTTGGTTGGTATAAGTGCAAAAAAAGACAAAATTTGAGCCATAGACATGTAGAAATATAAGAATTGGATGGTATTTTCTAATATATAAGTATTGCCAAAGATCTCTTAATAAAAAAAAAACCTGTTCCCTCTTTTTCAAATCCTTGAATGCCATCTCTGCTAAATCCTTCTGAGGCACTAACTTCTCTTTGGGAAATACTTTTGCCAAAATGATTAGAAGATGCACCATTGGCCAAGGAGGAAGCACATCATCCGATATCTAACGAAAACAATTGCCACGAAGTTTACCGATCGAAAAACAAAGGCATATGGAACAAAGTAATAATACCATTATTGCTCAAACAAATCCGACTACCTTACACATTGGAGCGAGTAGAATTGCGCCATCCCACGACTGAGGTTGTTTAAGATGAACCTTCAAGGCGACCGCTCCACCCATCGATTGGCCGAATAAGAAGCTCGGAAGACCTTTAAATTCAGGGTTCTCTGATCCACATGAACAACATAACAAGAAAGTGATTACCCATATTGATAATATAGTAATTAAACATCTTTTGCAGTGATTTTCAGTAAAGTTGAATTCATATTCACTGAAAGGCAAAGTTACTCCTCTTAATTTAAATTTTATGTGGCTAAATATTAGAAAAATCAAACAATGATAAACATAATCATCAAGAAATCTCACTAATTGATGAATCTATCTTATAAGATGTTCAAGGATATAGAATTTAGAATATATATAGACACAGACACACAGACACTCACATACCACCTTTCCTGTGCATGATAATGTGTATTTCACTTTTTTAAACTTAAAAAAGTTGTCTTTTTCATGTGATATGAAAATTTTGGGTGGCATAAATCTAAAAAGCAAATGTTAAGGTGTTAAATATGTAAAAACATAAGCACCGGATGGTATGAATGTAAATGCCCCACACGTTTAACTAATGATATGTATGGTTTAATCACACTAATGAGACAAAAAACCAAACCAAACTTAGCAAGTGTTTTCACGAACTTAGCAAGTGTTTTCACGATGGAGTTTGATTCATTTTTATTTGGTTCAGAACACAGGTTTCTTTCAACAAGTGTAAAAAAACAAAAAACACCAAGTAAAACTGCTGCTGCTAGCAAGCATTGACACATATACCAACCAATTCTTATGTATTTACATATCTAACAACTAAATTTTGCCTTTCCCATTCATACTATCCAAATCTATCATATCTCATAAAAAACATTACTATTTTAACTTTTAAAAAGTGAAATACACCTTTTCTTACATGCGTGATGCGGCATTTATGTAAAAATTGAAGTTTAGCAGTTAGATATGTAAATAGATGAGAATTGAGTAGGGTGTGCATGTAAATCTTCAAAAAAAAAAAAAACAAATACCTTTAATTTTGGAGAAATGCTCAACCACATCATGAACAAGATCATCAAAGCTTGGGATATAGCCATGTAATCCTTCCGAAAGACCGAAGCCCGGATAATCCATAGCAAAAAATCCATAGCCAGCTGAGGCTATCTTTTTGGCTATACCTACATAAAGGCGAACATGCTCATTAAGCCAAGCCCAGGAACATTCCACATATACCAGAACGATGGGAGGAGTTCAAGAACACGAATACCTTCAACGAAAAATGTGCATGTGTCTCCATAACCATGGCAGAAAAACACGAGTGCCTTCACTCGATGATTCCCCGGAAGCCAGCGTTTGGTGAATATTTCCAAACCTCTTGAATTCACCTCATAGGACTGTCACAATGATTCGAAAACAGGGTCGCCACAATCGGAAAGATACAAAATTGAAAAATTTACATGCATACCGCTCAATTATTATGTATTTGCCTATCTAACACCTAAACCCCACCTTGCATATGCTTGAAAAGGAGTACTTCACTTTTTAAAAATTTAAAAATGGTGGTAATTTTTTTGTAATATGAAAGATTTGGGCGATATATTATAAAAAAAAGCAAAGTTTAGGAACTAGATATGTAAATACATTGGAATTGGGTGGCATGTATGTAAATCCCCCTACAAAATTATGGAATGAACGGTCAAGAAACCGTTGGATGAATCAAGTTCCGGAACAGCAATGAGTATATGATTCAGAAATGAACTTCAAGTGTTCACCAGATAACTCTTACACTTTTCATATCTTAGCAAAAAAAAAAATGTGTTTCAGCAAAAACAGAGACTAAAAGACAAAAATACTAAGTTGGGTTGATCAGCTTTATTCAGAATTAATATAGAGTAAGAAGGCCAGGAGCCATAGCCACAATGGAGTTAGAAGACAAGACAAAAGACTATAATAACAAGTGATGGATTAAGTGAATTCATTACCTCCTTCATTTTTATCCCTTCATATTCTGCCTGCAAGAAAATCAGAGAAAGAACATTAGCCACGAGCTAAACAATATTGAGTACTAACTAATATCATTATATTTGCATAAATAAGTAAAAGTAATGCAGCAACAAGCGGAAACGGAAAAGGTTGTGAAATAGATTTTTGATGAGTTATAATGAGTTGCATTAGTTGGCTCATTTTTCGAGAACTTGGACCGAGTTTAATGAGTTGCATAACACTACCATTTGGAGGGTGATGTGTAAAGGTCTTGTTGTTAAAGGTGGGAGCAAAGTTGAAAGGGAGTTCCTTCCAATAAATTGGATGGCAATAGAGTTGTAGGTGAACTCAGATTGTCCCAACAATTAGTCGAAATGTCTAAATTATAATTAACTACTGGTTAATGTCTAAATTATAACTAACTAATAATTTATGTAAATATTAAATCAATAAGGCTCATAAATCATCACTAAGAAGAACACATAAAGATCAACATTCACATTATTTATTCCACATGTCTAAATTATAACTAACTATATTTTGGTTCATCTAAATCTAAATCAAATTGACCAAATTAAAGTTCAATTCAATTTAATCTGGTTTGAAAAATAGCTTCATCGGTATGATGTTCTGAATTTTACAACTAAATCTAATTGGATTAGCTAATTCATAACCCAAAACACCCAAATCAACAATGCACATCCCTAATTATAACTACTGGTTTATGCTTAAAATCAAATGAAAACTTCTGAAGGTACACAACTCAGCATGCATGCTTATGGTTCAAATTCTTTCAGGAAATTGGTGATCAATGACTAAGGCGGATTCTTGGAATGAATAATGGCACCATTGTTTTAGTGCTCAAACGATGGTATAAAGTTCTTGCTAGTAAATCAACCATCTTTGTCTTGTTGGACTCAACTTCTAACTGAAGAATTCTATTAGCGTACCATTTTTGAGACAAGGCAGCGCCAATCCCAATAGCTGAAACAACTATCTCAACTTAAAACGGGTTATCAATTACGAATGCCCGAACAGGCACAGAGTAGAGTTTCTCCTTAATTGCATTGAATCTTACTTGTTGTCCATCATTCCACAAGAAGGATTTCTAGTTCAGACAATTAATAATTGGAGATGTTCCTATCGTGAATGAGTAGTTGATAGAAATTGGCAAGGCCATGGAAGCTCCAGATGTCCGTGAATGGAGCAAAAATGGGCTAGGACTAAATAGCCTAGAATCTCTGAGGGTCCACCTTGATACCTTCATAGCGAACAATAAAGCCCAGAAAGTGCAAATGTAGGATAATTGAAAAGATATGAGAGAACTTAATTTTATTGATGAAATGAGGGATATAAATACTAATTACAAGACTTACTGGTAAGGAAAACAATAAAAACAAAATACAATAGAAAAGGAAAAGAATAATAACAAAATATAAGAGACAACTAATCTCTCTAATTTAAGGAGAAATAAATAGAGA